CTGCATATATGCATAGAACTTCTTTGGTTAATCTCTTCCCACCCTCCACCCCCTTCCCTCTTTCCTCTGAAATACGATCCTCTGTTGCATACGTCAATGTATCTGGATCTATTTAGTTTGTCAGATTCTCTTGTTCATTAGCTTCTTTTTTTAAAAAATATCTTTAATGATTTCAGAGAGAGGAAAGGAGAGGGAGAGAGATAGAAACATCAATGATGAGAGAGTCATTGATCAGCTGCCTCCTGCACACCCCCAACTGGGAATCGAGCCCACAGTCCGGGCATGTGCCCTGACCGGGAATCGAACCCCGATCGCATGGATCCTAGGTCGATGTTCAAACGCTGAGCCACACCCGGCAGGGCCATTAGCTTCTTCTTAAAGAAGACCCTTCAACATTTCCTGTAGTGCTGGTTTGGTGGTNTTCAAACACTGAGCCACACCCAGCAGGGCCATTAGCTTCTTCTTAAAGAAGACCCTTCAACATTTCCTGTAGTGCTGGTTTGGTGGTGATGAACTCCTTTAGCTTTTTCTTATCTGTGAAGCTCCTTATCTGACCTTCAGGTCTAAATGATAGCTTTTCTGGGTAGAGCAATCTTGGTTGTAGTTCCATGTTTTTCATCACTTTGAATATTTCATGTCACTCCCTTCTGGCCTGCAAGGTTTCCATTGAGAAATCAGCTGACAGTCATATGGGTGCTCCCTTGTAGGTAACTAACTGCTTTTCTCTTGATGCTTTTAAGAGTCTCTCTTTGTCTTTAACCTTTGGCATTTTCATTATGATGTGTCTTGGTGTGGGCCTCTTTGGGTTCCTCTTGTTCGGGACTCTCTGTGCTTCCTGCACTTGTAAGTCTATTTCTTTCCCGAGGTAGGGGAAGTCTTCTGTCATTATTTTTTCAAATAGGTTTTCAATTTCTTGGTCTCTTTCTTCCCCTTTTGGCACCCCAATATGAATGTTGGGCCCCTTGAAGTTGTCCCAGAGGCTCCTTATACTATTTTCACATTTCTGGATTCTTTTTTCTTTTTGCTCTTCTGGTTGGGTGTTTTTTGTTTCCTCATGTTCCAAATTGCTGATTTGATTTTCAGC